CATTTTTTTCTTTTCCCTTATTACCCTTCCCCTACACATCCCACCTTCCCTACACCTTTAGCTCCTTTCTTCCCATTTCTAAATGTCAGTAATCTTATTAGGATCTTCTGTATTATTACAGATTATTCACACCAGAGAGACTATTCGGTATTTACACGTGTGCCTTATTTATTTTAAAATGTTTTTAATGCTGCTTTCTGTTTGCCTTGAAACAACATGTCCTAGTTCCATCCATCCAAGTATCCCCCAAGGACTAACGGCAACTTTTTGGCACAGAGTGGTCCGTTGTGCTAAGTTTTTAAATGTTACGAGAAGGAAGAAGTATAACATAATAGCTGTGGATGAAAAATCCTCACTCCAGTACTTATTACCCGTAGAGTCTTGGCTTGGCACCGTCTCAGTCCCTAAGTTCATGTCTTCACATCTGGGGTGATGTAGGGAAGACGGCAAACGGAGAAGGGTCAAGTTTAGGGCATAAAGTTCTCATTGCTCAAACCACAATGACTCACTGAAGCAACCCGCAAGTCACCCCGGCAAGTCAAGAATCTACCTCTCACCTCCTCCTATCGCTTAGGTTTTCTGTAACTGAATGTCCTGTTTGCATTACTGTGCCCTCTCCCTGTCCTTTCCCAAGTATCAACCTATTTTAAAAGCACCGTCTTTCTTCTACACGCTGTTTTATTCCTCACATCTCTCATACTATGCTATGCATTCTTCCACTATGAGGAACGCATCAAATACAGAAATAATGGGTGATTTAACTAATATCCTATAATGCAATACCCATTAGTGCAATACAAAATAATATTATGAGATTTTATTAGCTCATATTAGTAAACACAGATTGCATTAAAAGCTGTTCCTGTTTTATTTTTGAAATGCTTTGATATGATACACTCCTATAAAATACCCAAATTATGCTGTTCTGAAACTGTAAAGTTGAGTTTCCTGCTGAGCAGGTTATGTTAAATCTTTTTCTTTTTCTTTATTCTTACCAAGGATAAGGAAATGGTGGCTACAGGGTTTCTCTTTGTTCACCTTCCCTGCTGCATAGGAAACACTTTAAGAGCACTTCCCAGGAAACTGTTTCTGACCTCCTGTCCCTTGCTTTCTACCAGATACTAGTAACAACATCAAATGCCACTTCTTAACATTAAAAATTAGATATTATCTAACATTAGACTCTATGTAGCACAAGGTAAAGGGGCTTTTTGGCAGATAGCCAGGTAATTAGCTCAATGCAGACAAAACAAGACCATTCGAAGCCTCATTGGAGAGTCCTGGCGATGCCTCTAAAGCCTCCCTCTCATCCTTGCTATAGGGTAACCTGTCAAAGGATGAATTTAATATTTTCATTTTAAGTATTTCTCTTTTGAATTTTTACCACCCCCTACGAGTGCGCCAGCTTTTTCACTTAACAAAGCCATTATCACACCAAGGTGAAGGCTACATAGGAAAAAAAAAATACCACTCAAGATAATACCACATCTATGTTTTCCTATGCTAATACTTTTGAGGATTAGAATAGAGTGACACCAAATGACCATTTTGAAGTCTATTAGTTAATATGCTTGTCTTCTATTAAGCAAGGGAAAGGATTGGGTATGGGTAATAGAATCAAATGTGGTAAACTTAGCTAGAATATTACATTTTTGTTCTTTCTATGTAATGGACTTTTAATATCTGTAAATAGGGAATAAAATGTTTTAAAGATTTGTTTGCTCAATCATGACTATGCCAGAGACATACATTACAGATCATAGAAAAACATTTCAAAACAATGGCAGACTACTTCTAGAGCACATGCATTTAGGGTTATTTTTATCAGAAGCATTAATTGGTAAATTAAAATGGAATTGTTGACCGATCACACACAAGCCATGAAAACTGTCTAGTAGGCACCTCAGGTCAGCCTGTCTGCCTGCTATGCTAACCTATAAACCCTTCACACTGCTGTTCTCTCTCTTTAGCAAAAACACTCACTCAAAAACTCAAAGTTATTGCTTCTGTTTACTCACCATCCCATTTCTTCGTAGTCTGTTGATACTTAAATGTTACACACAGCCTTTGCAAGACTGTTCTCCTGAAGAGTATTTATGACCACTAATACAGGTAAATGCTTTTAAGGCTCTAATGGGAGCTAAGAATTAGGAGAATCACAGGAGGTTTTCCTGGTCAGTGGTTCATCCTTAGCAAACATGCCAGATGGGCTGGGGACTCCTCCTCTATCTCTTTTGGGAATTTCTAACCGGTGGAGGATATGTTAGACATATCCAACCAGGTAAGAGAATTGAGAAAGGTGGTACAACCCTTACAGACTCACAAGCAAAAAGAAAAGTTTCTAGAGAGCTTTCAGTCATTCAAATTGAAAGGGGGAAGCCAGACAGATTATATAGATGATTGGTGATTCTTTATGAGATTTTAATAGACTTTTTATTTAAAATTCTGACATTGGTGGTGCTTCATTTCATGAACTAGAATGAGTAATTTGAGAAACCAAGTAGTGGATCCCAGTGGTCCTCAGAGTGGATGCTTTTTAAGCTTCTATCATTTTCCCTAAAGTTTCCCTTCCAAAAATTTGGAGGCATGATTTATTCCACACCATCATGATTATGATTCCTAATAACATTTAAAAGTAATTCTTTTCTTTGGCAACATCTTCATTAGCTACTTTTTATCTTTTAACACAATTGACTTTTTTCCCCTTTGAATTGCTTTCCTTGTTCTACTTTTTCTGATATAGTAAACTTATCTCTCTTCTTTCTCTTTGTATATCTTCCCCTTTTCCATATTTCAATCTTATAGCTTCTTTTGACTCACAGGAAAAACACAACTTTGAATTTGAACACATTTCATGTCACATGATTATCTCTCGCTCGAGTAGCAATTCGTTTTACTTTTAACATTTCATGCCCCATGCTACTTGGACTCTACAATGGGAAAGCAGTCCTAGAGAGAGGACAATGCTACTAGACAACTCATTTTGCAAGCTACTTTATATCCAAATAAAACATATCAGACCATCTTTTCCAGTAAGTATGAAGATGTATTTGCAGAGATCCAGCTTTACATACAAAGAGTTAGTAGTGAGCAGTAACAAATCTATGCATTTGTAAAGGTAATAAAGAGATGTATAAAGAAGTACTCAGTGCTATACATGTGACTGCTTTAATTATGTGAGAGAACATTCTTATTTTTAAGGGTGACGTCATTGGTTGCAATCACTACGCAGCTTGTGGTGTGACAATACTTAGAGCTTTCTAGAGCATGCTTTTGATCCAGCATCATCTCTTTGTTTTCCTGAAACTTCAGTATCTCTTTTAATTTGTCATCTTCTATCAGAAATTCTATTTGTGCATGGAATAACTGAGAGAAATTTTTAGATTTTATAACCTTTTTCATTTACTTTACTTACTTGTGTCAGTTGGCTTTCTGTGGCTGTGACCAAAAATACCTGACATAAACAGATTAAAGGAAGAAAGGATTTATTTTGGCTCGCAGTTTCAGAGGTTTCAGTCCATGGGAGGCTGGTTCTAAGGCAGAACATCGTGCTGAAAGGGCAGGAAAAGGAATGCTGCTGACCTTTCGGCAGCCAGGAAACAGAGAGAGAGAGAGCACAAAGACAGCCAGAGAGTGGGGAAGGGGCTTTGGATAGGATATACTGTACAAAGACAAGCCCCTGGTGACCTGCTTCCTCCGACTGGGCCCCATCTCCTAATAGAACCATTTAGCTATGAACTCATCAATAGATCAATTTGTTGATGTGGTCAGTTCCCCCAGTATATGAGTCTTTGTGGGATACTTTGTATTTAAACCACAACACTATTTCACCATTATTTAAAATGATTAAAACAAAACATTGTAAATGCTTTTTGAAGGGGGGAAAATAACCCTAAAAATTATTATGTGTAACAAATGACTTGAGGATTCACATGATCCTAAAAAGAAATCTCAAGTCAAATATGCTGATCTTATTGCTCAGCAATCACGCCTTCCTTTTTAATAGCTACTGATGGACACCTTTTGTGGTGCTCATTTTACAGTGGTGTCGATGACAAGCTTTCACTTGGCTGCAGCTGATCATGCTGCTTCCAACTGTGTTTCATCTTACGGAAAGTTACTTGTATGCATGGAATGCTTTTGATTCTACAGAGTGTGGAATGGGATAGCCAGCATTCGGTCATGCAATTTATTAAAACATGGTCATTCTTAATCCTGAAACCTTACATTTATAGGATCTTTTTTTGTGTACTGGGGATCGAACTTAGGTCCTTATGCTTGTGACGCAGTTGGCAGAACCACTGAGCTAAATCCCCAGCCCGCACATTTATAAGATCTTAACAACATACAAAATAATTTCTTTTCTTTGCTGGAACTTTGACCACAAACGGATAATT